GGGGGGGGTGGGGGTAAGGCAATCTTGTAAGGATCTCTGTCTCTAGTTACCAGTGCTGGTTCACGTTCCTGCATGTCAGTCCATCCGGCTTCCTCAGACACTGCACTCTTCACCCTTTTCTTCTTTCCTTGAAAAATAAGTTTTGATGCTTAAGAAAGTATTGGCATATTTATATAATCATTATAATGTTTATGTCAGTTTCGATAGCGGTTTGTATCATTATATAATCTGTTGTCCGTCATGCACCCTGTCTCCTGTAAAGTTGTAAGTGCGTTGACATCACTGTTTTCCCCATTTCTTATCCTAATGTTTTGATTAACACTGTGCACAAAAACTGATTTAGTACAGAATAACGTGGGAGGGATGTTATGTTTGAAGATGTTGCAAAAACTGAGGTGTTGAGGCTCTTGAGTTGCAAAGTGATATATAACAGTTTAGCAGGAAGATAAGGGATAAGATGATATAGTGAAAATTTTTCCTATCTAAAGGAAGAAGTGGACAAGTTGCAAGGTGATATATAACAGTTTAAAAGGAAGAAGATAAGGGATAAGATGATTCATTTTCCCAGTGGGAAATTTATCTTATATTATCTTGTCTTATCTTGTCTTATCTTATCTATCTTATCTTATCTTAAAAGGAGGAAGTGATGAAGAAAAAGGAGAATATCAGGCTTGTATCTCTCATGCTCTATACTCTACATAGCAAAGTAACTGAGAATGTTGTCTGCAGTTAGGAGGGGGTAGATTTTTGGCACTGGAAGTTCCTACTTCTGTACTTTCTCCCTCTCTTGTACCTATCTTTCGGTTTTGCTCCCCCCGCATTAAATTACCCTTATTTTATTGCTTGGAAGTGCCTCTCTTTTCTCAAACTAAAAATAATCACCACCAACCAACTTCTCTACCTGCTGTGCTTGTGAAGACATTCTGAAGATGTTCTTGGAAATGTTATGTTTGGGCTGCTATAGGCTCAGAACGAAAAAAGGCTGACGATTTGTTGGATTTATGATGATCACATAATGAGATCAGCAGTTGTACGCTTTTGTGACTTGCATTCGACTTCTACTGCAGCACACGCACTCATTTCAAATGACATGTTCACTTGCTTACCGCGTGGTATGATTATATAAGATTGTTCATGTGTTCATGACCCCTAGCAGTATAGTCCACTGTCCCGTATAATAATAATAATAATAATGATTGCATTTGTATAGTGCATATCCACATTTTACAGCTGTTATTACCCAGCAGACCTTTGAACACTGAGAAACATTCTCAGCTTTCCAGGAAGCATACAGTGCAAGCAGCGGATTTCATGTTCTCAAACACTTACAAAATGATGAGATCTTTCACTGTCCATTGACAGGTACCCATTTCCACCCGCGTGAAGTGAAGGAAATTAGTTACTGTTATGTGCATTTCTCAACGACACAAGTTTGGTTCCTGACGAGATCCGAAACCATGACCTTAACGTTGCAAGTCTGATAATCTAACTGCTAGGCCACCAAGGCCACAATCCTAACAACAAGGAACCCCACTCTTCTGCTGGTGCATATTCTTTTTATATACCGCAGTTCCTCCAGTCTAGGAAATGGTCGTTGAATCCTTTGACTGCATGGTCCTATTTGTTACCCCTCCTTCCATTGTCGATATACTTCTCTTAACTCATCCCTTGATGGTGACAAGTTGATTAGGGTCAGAAAGAATGTTGTTATGTCGACAGCGGTTCGTTAGAAAGTGCCACTAGTGGGTCCTACTTCTTTTCATCCCCTCTTCTGTTTCTGTTTGTATGGGTGGTTGGCAGATGCTCTGGTGTGGTTTGCTCCTTCTTTCCTATCAAACAACTATCGTATTTTTCTCTCCTCCTTCTTTTTTATGTTTGTAACTCTCTTGTAACACGTCTAATCTTTGGCACTTTTATGACGTTATTGTGTTGCAAGTGCCGTAAAACTAAAACTAAAACTAAAGTTTCTGTTTGTCTTCCCTTTTCCAGCCCTAAATGATCGTTATTGTGTCGATGTTTCTCGAAAGAAGCATTAAGTGGCTGTAAAGCTTCACTTTCGCCAGGAGGAGAGCTCTGTCCTATTTCGATACCTGTCTTGTTCGGGAGCTCAGTGAGAGGACTGTTTCTTCTTATTTATTAAAGACTTAAAATGGAAAAAAATTTGAATGTCCTAGTGTTGTTTTAAATTCCTTGTTTTATTTTTTTTCTATTTTTCAGGCACATTTTCTTGTTCGACAGAGTAATGCTCATGTGCAAAGCAAAGGTATGTATGTTCAATTAGTTACTGATACTGTGGATAGATATGCTTAGGTTCTTGGCGCTACCAGGCTTTCAGGTGTGGGGATAACAGAAAGGCTTAAAAAGAAAGACAAACATCCCATGAACTTTCGATGCTAAATTTTTGTTGGTGTGGAATTTCAAGAGTGCATAACACGTCTTCTTTGTCTTTTTAAAAATGTTTTTCATTAACAGAGCTCTCACCCGTTTCTCCAGCTGTTCTCTGTATCATGTATGGAGAGGCTTGCACTGTCACACTCACTGGATTTGTCTTCATGTACATTGTAAAACTGTAGAGTTTAGCGGAATTAACAAGTGTATCATACTTAGCTACACTACAAAGTATTGTGAAACTTGGCTTTTTGGAGAGCACAGTTGTTGTTCTGCCTGTCTATTGCTGTACACCCATTAATGTTCTTTTTTCTGGTTTTGAGAATAGAATTGTAACAACTGTGTTGTTGGTTACAGTAATGACGGGTTTGTCTGTAGATGGGGG